AGAAACCAGATCGCAGGAAGGGTGGGCGGGGGATCCATTTTACTGTTACTTGGCTAATCTCAACATGATAAAGGTCAGCTGCCTGTCAATGGGACACTGTCCCTTTCATAAAAAAAAAAAGAAGTGACTGATCAAAGCATAAAGAAAGAAACACGGAGGGAGAGATCCCAGGCGGGGGGCAAGGAGGTGCCGGGAGCTGCCCAGGATCAGCCTTTGAACACGATGGAGCATTTGAGGTGGGCCGGTTCGAGGCCATCGGCAAAGGCCAGCAGGAAGTACATCACCTTGCGGATCTTGGCCAGCTCGCTGAGCCTTTCCCCGAACTCCTGGGCGTCCGCCTCGTTGTACTCCACCTCCTTGAGCTCTGGCTTCTTCCAGAAGATGCCAGCCGGCTCCAGCAGCTGCCGGGTCATGAGGTTGGTGAGGTCAGGGGTCCAGTGCTGGGAGATGCCCACCACCGTGACCTTGCCGGGCTTCCCCAGCCGGACCCTCCAGCGGAGGAAGCGCAGGTTGTGCTGGCGGACGAAGTCCACGCGGGAGATGTACTCGTTGGGCCGCAGCAGCTTCTCGCCGTCCTGCGGCCGCTCGCTCCTCTGCTGCAGGCTCTGCACCCGCAGCCGCATGCACTTGGTGAGCTGCTCGTCCAGGACGAAGGGGAGCTCCAGCTCCGCGGCGCCGGCAGCCATCGCCTCTGCTTCTCTCCTCCCTGGCTACGCTCTCGGCAGCGTCTGACTCTCCGAACGGGCCGCCCTGGGAAAACAAATGCCAGCGCCCTGCCTCGCCGGTCCCAGCGGTGCTAGGCAACCCGGGTCAATGACGCAAAGAGCCCTGGGGGGTTTCCTCTGGGTGCCCTCCCGTCTCATTTGCAGAGGAGGAGCAGATCCTGCCACTGCGCGCTAATCTATAGGGAAGGGATCTCTGATGTCAAGCTCCCTGACAACCGCCCCCGTGAAAGCTGGAGCACAGTTGTTTATAGTGAACCGAGGGCTCTTGCAGCCAGGCCATCGTGGCAAAGCTGGCGTGGGGGGTAGGCAGGATGCTAGGGGGACGCAGCTCTCAGGACCACCTGTTTTTTCGTGGCCATCCCTTTGAGGGGCCATGCCAGGGTGGGAGCGGCAGCCTGGCCCTACTGCATTTGGAGTGGAGGGGCTGCTTCCCGTGAGGAGGCAGGTGCATGACGGGCTGGCGGCACGTCCCCTCCACCCCCTGCGGGTTGGGGGGCTCCAAAAGGCAGCATCCCTTGGAGGGAGGTTAATGCTCCCCTGGCCCATCAGCCCCATCAAGCCAGGAGCCTGATCTTCAGGACTTTGCCCACGTGGGTGGGAGCAAGCGCGCCGGCTCCGTGCTCTGTGAACGTCATGGGACAGGCCTGATGCCGATGAGTCTGTCCCGTCCCCTTGTGGGACAATCAAAGGGCCCCACATTTCAAACACTGGAGCAGTGCAGTGCGTGCCAGAAACATGGGGCACGGTATCTCCACGGAGGATACCATGGCCTCACATCCTAGTACCATCAGCTCACTTCTCACTCGGGCTGCGCGAAACACCATCGTTTCCTTTCGACGCTCGTTTCACCGTTCCAATAGGACAGTGTTTCGTTTCATTGTTACGTTGCGTTTCGAAGCACTGTCCCCGTTTCGTTTCGTCGCAACTGTTTCGACGTGTTGCCTATAGGCCATAATGGGGAATTACAAAAATGCCTAAGACGCTGTCCTTTCTTGCCTGATTTGGATGAAAATGGCAGGGATCGTATCACCCCTTCTGAGGGCATGCAGCCTGCCAAGTTTCAAGGAGACAGGTGCAGAGGTTTCTTGGAAACTGCACCTCAAACTGCAAAAAGCAAAACTCGTGACACTTGCCGGCAGCGTGCTGTCATCCGGCACGCAGCTCCAGGGGCCCGCACCCCCCGGGAGGCCTGTGGGGCCGTGCCAGACTCCTCCTGGGGGTGTGGGCCCCGGATCTGCACCGGATGACAGGAGGCTGCTGCTGCCACCTGGGACTGGTGCTGGGCGCATCCTGCACCCAGCACTGGGGAAGACTGAGGCTGCCACTGGCCTTAGGCTCTCTCCTGCCTCCTGGCACCAGGCTGCTTCGAAACTCAAAACGTTTCCAGTGCCCTCATTTCATTTCCAAGCTGTTTTGAAGCTTTTTGTTTGATTTCGAATTTGCTGTTTCGAGCTCGAAACAGCTTCGAAACGAAACACTTGCAAAGCCCTACTACACGCAATGCCGACACGCAGCCATGCACCAGCATCTCTCTGCCCTCCACCATTCGCCGCTGGACCAACCAGGCAAAAGTGCTCTCAGATCCTATTACTAAAGAATAAAGAACAAGAAAAACAATCAAGAGCTCGTGCGTGAAAAGCCACCAAGATCGGGAGCTCAAAGTCCTGGATCGTGTGACCGTGAACACTTTGGAGCATGTCATGTTTTCACAACTGAAAAGAGCCAGGACCAGAAGTGAGGTCTAAGAAACCAGCCCCCTTCCTGCTGTTTGCTTCGCTGGTGTGCTAGCACATAAACAGCTTTGGCAGCAACTTTTCAACCAGCCCAGGGGTTTGAAAGTTAAATATGCATTTGATTACCCTGGAGAAAATGCCAGAGCTGTGCCACACATGGTAAAGGCACAAGGACTGTGCAGAGAGTGATCTGAACTGCCACCAGTCTTTTATCTCCTCGCCTGGCCCAGAGGTCGGATGCCAGGCTCCCTGGCATCCATAGGAAGCCATCTCAGGGGCACGTGCCACCCCAGCACAGATGACTAGTTTCCCCCAAATAAATGCTCCCAGCCCCTTGAAGACACAGAGGGAATCCACCGGGGAGCTAATGCAGGGACTCTTCTCTCCCGGGGTGCTGGGGCACTCTGGGGTGCCACCAGATCCTTTGAAGGGTGCCCTGAACTGTGAGGACATAAGCAGATAAGTTAAGCACATAAGTGCAGGCTCAGGTTTGTCCCTGCCTGGCCCCTTCGCAAGAAGCTAAGCACCTGTGATCTATGAATTAGCTTTTGAAATTGGTTGATGCTCAATTCACAAAAACTATGGAGTGGGGGGACCTCGAGTCCCATGAGGTTGAGAGCCACCGAGCTAATGCCACCACGGGCTGATATTCCTGTGGGGCTTTGCGGGAAAAGGTGCATCTGATACCCTTTTCCAACCTTCCTCATTCTGGTCAACCAGCGTTTTGGTGGCGTCTATCACGGCAGCCCCCCAGGACCAAGCCGCCGGCAACGCACACGCGGGAAGACTGAGGCTGCTGCCTGCCCCAGCCACCGCGGCTCTCTACCCGCTGCTAGGAGGAGGAAGACCCGGGGACTCAAAGGCACGTGCCACGTGACACATGCGCTCTGCCAAGGCAGAAGACGAGTCGGAAGCTGCTTCCCAATTACATCCATAACAGGCCTCCCAGGGACCTGGGGGGAGGAAAGGAAAGTGCATGAAATAGCAGTCTCCTGGGGACCACGCAGTGCTGCTCCATCTTGTTCCTTTGGAGGAATTCGTCCCCCAGTTCAGCCCCATGAAAAAAACTCTGTTTATCAGCCCTCTCAAAACCCAGGGAGCTGCAGACACTTTCCACCCTATCTAAAATAGAGCTGTGGGCACAGGAGGTCCAGTTCTGGTCTCGGGCTGGTAAAAATCCCCCATCCTTGGAGGCTTTCAAGACCCGGCTAGACAAAGCCTTGGGATGATCTAGTTGGGGATGGTCCTGCTTTGAACAAGGGGTTGGACTAAATGATCTCCTGGGGTCCCTTCGAACCCTCGTTTTCTATGATTTCATGATTTTCTATGATTTTAAACCAGGCCCAGTGAGATCAATGAAATCAAACCAGTGTAGGGGCAAAGTCTGGCCGGACACCTCCAACCTGTTCCTTCGCTGACCTTGACTATCTAGGCGAACATTTCCCCATACCCTGGAGCCTCGATTCGGGCGGGTCGCTTTTGAGTCTAAAGACTGCGGGGTTTGCTTTCTTTCTGCTCTGCCTCTATACTGATGGGCCCTTATATTAGCCGATTGATTGGGAACAAATTCTGCGATGGTAGTACACAGAGATACGATACTGTCCCTTCAAATAGTTGGTGAACACCGCAGTGGTGTTCACCACGTCTTCTAGCACAGGAGCAGGCAGAGGCTGGTCTGAGCAGCAGCGTGTCTGCAGAGACGCCCGACACGCGTGCGCTTGTGTGCACGTGTGTAGTAAATGTAAGGCAGGTACTCCACTTATCAGCATAACAGGCAAGCGCGTAATTCCCGTAACAGCCCAAAAAAATGCCACTCCTGATTGTTGCCCGCTGCTTAGATTATAACAAACTGGTTGCCTGCTTGTTGGTTAAGCGCACAAACCACTTAAATGTATCTAGTTTGTAAATGAATGGCACAGTAATCCAGTTAATTGCCCCAGACACAGCGAAGGGGAAATAGCTCAAAGTGCTGCTATTAGCAGCTTTGGAAACGATGGGAACTACTCAGTGTCTTGTACTTACTGTGCATTGCCCGCAGGTCACGAGTGGTTGTGCTGATTTTGGAAGGAGCATGGAGCAAGGAAGCACTCAGCGTAAGGCAGTGATTACCAGTCAGGGTGCTGCAGTACCCCAAGGTGCTGCAAGATCCTTTTAAAGGAGCCATTAAAAGGCATGCATGTAAACACCTACCCAATTCACAAGATAAAGCCAGAGATTTCAAACAGGACTCTGCAGCGTCAAAAATACGCTGACCTCTTGCGGTCTTCCTGCGCTCCTTGCAACAGAGGAACTGCTCTATCATTTTTGCATCGTCAAGAAATGAGCATAAACTTCGAGACGGCGTTTTCCAAGGGGTGCCTCAAGTCTCACGTGGTGTGCCTTGAGTACAGCAAAGGGTGCCCCGAGTCTGAGAAGGGGGAGAATATGGTTTGCGCCACTTGCGGCATTCAAATGCCAGTCCCCACGGGAAGCACCCAGGTGAGAGATCTTTAGCCCCAGAAAACAGCCCAGGTTGTAACTGCTGGACCCCCAACTTGGATTGTCTCCGGCATCCTTCTCGAAGGGTGGGTAACGCCAGGATGCAGGGGTTGGGTCAGCCCACTGAAGGAAGGGTGGTCATACTCAAGCGTGGACTGAAACAGCCCCCAAATGGGGGACCGACTGAACGCAGTGGTCTGTGCTGGAGCCGTCAGTCGCCCTTAGAGAAAGGCCTGTTGCCATGGCAGGCTGTGCTGCAAGATTCCCAAACCACTTGGGGAAACTGAGGCACGGGCCTGTGAACAGATGAGCCTGAAGTCACCCCATGGGCTGGGCAGAGCCGGCCACAGAGCCCAGCTCTTCGCTCCAACTGCAGGACTCCCCCTCCTCCATACCTGTGTCCCTTCAACGGGCCAAACCTCAGGGGAGCAGGGCTCAAGGAGGGAAATAACCCCTTGCCAGACAGAGCAGGCTGTCCTCCATTGTCATCAGTGGGCTGAAGGACCACAGGGGCTCAGAGACCTCACCAAAGTGGCTGGGACCACACTCAGGTTAATTATTCCTGGCTTGGCCAGTGTCTCCAGTGTCTCCTTAGGTCTATGCAGCCGCTTTGGTCCCCACGTGCTCTCTTAGGCACGGCAATGTTCCTAAACCCACAGCCCCGGCTCACCGAAACAATCGTCCTCAGCCATCACAGAGCACTTGCCATAGGGAGATCTCAAAGCACCTTACGCTGGCATCATTTCACAGACAGGGAGACTGAGGCAGAGGTGGGCACCGTCATTCAACAGGCCACTAGCAGAGCCAAAAACAGCACCTAGGTCTCCTGAGTTTCAGCCCAGTGCTCAATCCGCCAAGCCAGGGCTGTCCAGGGCTGGAGGCTGCACACCCCACGGTGTAAGCCCCTCCCGGGTCACATGCCCTGCGGACACCCCTTCTCTGCACAGGCATCCCAGGCCACAGGCTCCTCTGGCACCCCAAGCTGTCACAGCCTTGGCACCTGAAGCTGGAGGAGAAGGGGGGAGCCCGGAGACCCCGGCTGCTGCTGCAGCCTGGGCAATGGGGGTGGCCAGGTGAGAACCTGGGGTCAAAAATTAACCCCTCATAGGCCACATATGACCTATAGGCTGCCAGCTGGACACCCCTGGGCTAAGCCACATAAAATCGATTAAGGGTGATGGGTGCCCCTCTTCTTCTGCAAGCCTTTCAAAAAAGGATGCCTCAAATACGCCGAGTCAAATTCTAGCAGCCTTGTGATATACCCCAGGTCAGATGAGAGGATCCAGTGCTTCCTTCGGGCCTTAAAAATCTGGACTCGCACTGAGGTGTGAATCTGGCCAGATCCCCTAATGGCTACAACCTGGTCCAGGTTACTAGGAAGACGAGGGCTCAGACAGGATCCTAGCTGCTGCCCCAGGCTTGAAAACAATCCTGTCCAAATAAAAAGAGGATAAAAGCAGCAGGTAGGTAGGGGCCCCTGGGAATCGCTGGCTTGGAAAATGATGAGCTACAAACGCACACAACACAGCGCGCCAAGGGAGGAGTTGCGGTGAGACCGGCGAGCTGAAATAATGAGCTCTCTAATGGGCCCCCGGCCCTGGTCGATCGGCGTCCTCCAGGGCAGGGCTGGAAGTGAATGGTAAAGGGGAAATGAGGTTGGTACAGCGCACTTGGCCTCCTCCAAGCACATTTTAAACAACAACGAACAGCAGGGATCTTGCATCACACAGAAAAGGGCCTGAAAGGCTGGGAGATGGAGGGGAGCAAGGTCCTCGCTGACGGTCCAGAGCGCGCCCAGCTCTCAGACCCACAATGAGCCCGCAGGGGACCGCGGCACTCAAGCCTGCTTCAAATACGAACCCCCGAAGCAGAGCTCTGGTTCGCTTGGTGCTAGCGGGCTCAGCTGACCTGCTTTGAGCATGTCTGACCAGGTGCTAAATGGCGAGTGTCGAACTTGGGCTGCTGCATCAGAAGAAAGGGGAGATCAGTGGAAATCTTAAGCTGCGCTGGGCTTTGAGCAGACTCTTACCCAGCACATCCCGTGCTGCAGCAATGAGGGCCTGTACAGCTCTGCCACTTAGTCTATATTGCACAAACCCCCCCACCCCGGTGACAGGTTCCCATCCCACGAGAGACCTCAGCTTTTAGGAAGAGGGCATCCTACATGCATGAAGAGAGCTGGACTAGAGGTCACTTGAGGTCCCTTCCAGCTCTAGGATTCCCCTGGGATCCTTGATAGACAATAAGCAACCTCCCCAGAGAGCTAGAGTACAAGAGATGCTGTTAGAGGCCACCTAGTCCAAGCCCCTGCTCAAGGCAGGCACATCCCTATTCAAACCAGCCCACATGAGTGTTGTCTAAACAATTCCTAAAACTCCAGAAACAACCATCACACAACCAGAAGGAACATAGCTCAAGGACACCGACACCGTCCTAACCTGCCACAGGTAAAGCAAGGGGACAAGGGCATTGTCAACATCCTGCCACGGCGAGGATGTTATATATACTAGATAACCAAGGAAGAGAACCAGGCTCCCTACTACAGAGCAAGGCAACCCTGCCCCATAGTCGGTACCCATCTGACCACAGGCGAAATCCCTTCCCGACCCCAAACGTGGTGATCGGCCTGACCCTGAGCAACGGGGCAATGCTCTCGAATCAGGAACTGCGGGGTTTCAGTTCCAGCAGGAGCATGGGCCTGCTCCAGGCAAAGGTGCATTTGACTGCGATCCAGAATTTGGGGGGAAGGTGGCAGCAAAATGTCTTTCTGGCCTCGTCCCAGCCACACTGCCAAGATCACAGCCAGGACACCAGGACTTGTTGCATCTCTAACAACAGTCCAAAACTGCAGGGAGGAGCAGCAAACGTCTCCCGAAGTTAACTCAGCTAATGAGCTGCTTGTCCCAAGCAGCGCCCTTGCAATACAGGGGCGAGCTCAGATCAGAACAGCCAAAGCTCATGCTGCAGGCTGCAGGCAGTCGGGTGCCCTGCTCCGTGACCAGAGACCCTGCATCCTCTTCCAGCAGCCGTGACCTGGCAGGGCTGTGATGTGGGCAGGGCTCCATCTGAGCAAAGTTAAAGCATCATGCTAGGGCACATGTGCTGCTTCCCTCCACTGCCTTTAGCGGGCACTGGCACCAGCACTGGGAAAGCCTTGTGCCAGCTTGTGTGTGTGGCACAGCCCGACTGGCACCTGCAGCCTTTGCCTTTCTGAACAGACCCTTGGCTCAACCTCCTCTCCTATGTCCTTTGCAACCTCCTCTCCTATGTCCTTGTGCAGGGCTAAGCCACAGTCCTTGTTTGTTAGCTGTGCCATCTCCCCTCTCGAGGCTGTGGTAGGAGGAGCAGACAACACATGAGATATGCCAAATCTCCCCCATGTAGTTAACACTGCCAAGGGAACATCTGCCTTGGGCTGTGTGTCCAAGCAGTGCAAAGCCAGACACCACCAAGAAGGAGGGCATAGTGCAAATAATGAGGGAGAGACCGAAGATGAGGCCCAGTCAAAAGCCCGAATCTAAATGCTCTGAACCTCTTGTGATTTGAGATCCAGGTGCCCCGTGCACTGCTTGGGGGGTGTGGGGAGGCACTCATGTTAATGTATTGAAATCAAGGCCAGGCCATAATTTTGAGGATGCTCACAAGCACCAGGCAGGGGGGATCAGACCAATAGTACGTGCACCGCGCTGACACAGAGGGCACGTTCCCTGATTCACCCCAGTTAATTGAGATGAGGAATGGTACGCCAGGGCCTGTGTCAGCCTCCAAGGCTGCTGCTGAGCTTCCCCAGCCCAGCACGAGGTGGGGGCTCTGCGAACCTGCCTCCACCGGGCTAAACAGGCTCCTTACCTTCTGCCACAAGGACTCCCGGGAGGCCAGAGCTGAGCAGGCGGCCACGAACCAGCAGTTCCCCACCTGGCCCTGGTGCAGGTCATGGGAACTGATTCCATCCACGAAGAGGTAGGGGTTGTCGCAGATCTCCTGGGGAATGGAGAGGGGATAGACACGGTGAGTGGGGAGAAGAGCTGGGAGCAACGGGGTCTTCATGTCTGATCCCTATCACGCCACACCCCCAAATTGCAGGTTAGCCCCGTGGGGTGAGACAATCACCCTATATGGAGTCCAGGGCCAACTTCTGCTCCAGGCTGAGCCGGTGGCAATCGAATCCTTCAATGGGGGTGCTCCAGACATCCCCCAGTTCACTATGGTAAGTATAGGCACACATTTAACCTTCAGCTTATGGGGAGCCCTGTTGACTTCAGTAGCATGACTCACGAACTCAGGTACTGGAGGCTGTATTGGGAACATACCCAGATACAGCCCGGCACCATCAAGGGGAAATGGAGCTTGCTGGACTGTTACGTCGCTGCAGAAAGTGCTAGGCAGTACTGGCGCCACGAAGGCCTTGCTGGAGCGTGAATTAATACAACCGCCAATCAGTACATATACAAACCACACAGAGGCCCTCCTAATAGCATGAACCAAAGCCGGCCTCACTGGAGCTGAACTAGACATACCACATATGCCTGGCAGAGAAGTGATGGGAAAGGAGTTAGTTTTTATAGGTGCCTCATCATAAAGCCAACATATAGAAGATGGCTTAGACCAATACAGGACACCAAAACAGAGATCAGAACAGCCAGGGAAAGAGGGGTCCCTAGCAGGTGGGTAAGTCGCACTGTTTGGTGAGAAGTAGGATGTGGATGCTCTCACCTAATCATGGGGTAGTAACAAGTGAGAATTGGGATGTGAATGCTCCAGACATGTTTGATGGTGTATAAAGATGGGCCTGGGAACCCGCAATACTTTGCACTGGGTTCAGGCCATTGGTTCTCAACCTTTCGAGACGTGAGGCACCACTCGGAAAACGCCACCTCTGAGTTTTCTTTTTTTGGCCTGGAAGCTAATTACTCTCCCGATCACAGACCTGGGTTGCATTTCTAGCCTCAAAACATCTGGCTTCAGCTCCCAGCTGTTGGATCCAGCCCGTGTCTGTTGGACGCAGACAATAACCATGTCAACGAGAGCTGAGCACTGAGCCTCTATTATTTTCCTGCTCCGTTGTGGATTTCCACAGAAAATATGAGACCGATCGTGTGTTGCGTAACAGAAAACAGCTGTGAAAACCATGAAATCTGAGCTTCCTGCTGGCACTTGGCCTAGGAGGCTGATGCAGACGGGGGGGATGTGATAGGCGATACAGTGCTACGAGCTGGGGGCTGGCGAGAGCACCGGGGACCGCAGCTGCCGGTTTGCCCCTCGTGGGTCAGACCCCTCTGCAGAGCTAGGTGGGGGGCAGGAGGGAGCAGACAGAGACCTGGAGCTCAGCCGTCTGGGTCTCCCGGAGAAATCAGTGCTGCTTTCCTGGGGACCATGGGGGTAGGAGGTGCTGGTTCTTCCCTCCCTTCAGCTCCCCAGACCTTTGTCCTTTCCCTGCCCCGTGGTCTGGGCTACAGAGCAGACGCCCGAGAGGCTCGCAGCTTCCAGGAACGGAGAGGAGCCTAAGCCAGGGGAGAAAGGTGTCACCCCCTACCGCCGAGAGGTCCTTTCTACACAACTGCTCTCCAAGGACCTGTCCCCCCTTGTTACACCTAGGCTGTAGCAGCGAGGGCCTTTTTATCTACCCTGGAGATCTTCAAAAGGAGACTGGACACACACCTTGCTGGGGCGATTTGACCCCAGCAGTCTCCCCTGCCCAGAGCAGGGGGGATCTCACGAGGTCCCTTCCAGCCCTAAACTTCTGTGTACCCATGTACCCCAACCCAAGAGAAAGGCAAATCTAGCCCCGAGCATCCCTCAGCAGAGCTCGAGCCACTGCCATCATGCGGGATAGTCACTAGAGGGAGACAACAGCACGGGCACTGAGCCCGTGTATCGCACCGGCACAGGAACAGGCTGGTGGGGAGGATGCCATGATATTAAATTTACTAGGGACTGGAAAGCGGAGCTGCTTTTACACAGGGTGGCCCAATCCCACCTCCATCCCCGCCTTAGCAAATGGCTCCAGGGACAGCAAGTGCACTTGCAGCATGAGCCCTTCTGGGTGCCTTTAACTGTGTTTCCTGCCCGTAGGGCCCGATTCTGCTCCCACCACCCATGGTGACCCCATAACTTGCAAGGATAACTTGCAAGTCAGGGAAATCACCCTGCATTGACTGCTCCTGGCTTCAGTGTCTAAGCGTGGAGACGACTTTGCTGGGAAGTCCTCAGTGGTGCCTCATGCAGGAGCTGAGTGGGCACTGAGCTCGTGTCCACACCAGCATGGGCAGGGAGCTGGTTTCCAGCTTGAAGGAAAGCACCTGAGCTGGAGCCTGTGCGCCCGTTCAGGCTGGCAGCCCCAGGTGTCGCGAGGACATGTGTCGGGCACGTACCCTACAGGGAAAAGACAGACATGGGTTTGGTCCCCTACTAACAGGCAACTGCAAAAGCTAATCAGCTGCTCCTTCCCCCTCCGCACGCGGTCTGTCGCTGGTAATTACAGTCTCTCCTTGGTGCATTTTAGTAGGGAAACAATTGATAATCTGATAAGATGGAGATCTGGTCAGGTTCCTGTCCACAGTGGGGGTAATCAGCTCCTGTTTAAAGCAGACTCCTTCAGCTGCATCGGGAAGATTCAAGGAGCCGCAGTGCTCCACCGCAGTTAAATGGGTCGCGCCAGGCCAGGGGCCCACCGACACAATCCCTGGCCATGTAACTGTGTCCAGTGGGGGCCGTGGCTGCGATCTGCCAAGTAGGCTGGGCAAGGTGCAGCAAAGGCCATGTCTCCCTGGCAGAGGCAGCGCTGCTACAGCCGGTGTTACGTTCCCTTCCCCTCTGCAGAAAAAAGCCCTCTCCTGAAGTGGAGTGGCACGTTCAGCCTGGGGCTGCCAGCCCGAATGGGCACACCAGGTTGAGCTCGGGTGCTGTCCTTCAAGCTGGAAACTGGCCCCCTGCCTACACTGGCACGGACACAAGCTAAATGCTGGCTCAGCTGCTGGCAGTCTTGCAAAGCCTTGCAAAACCCATAATTCCTTCTGACCCCAACGCCTGCTCCCGCAGCGCCTGGGGGAGAGCCCTGGAGCAGCTCAGCTCACTGCAGCATGGAGACCCAACAGCATATGCCCTCCAAAGTCCCAGTGAGGCCCTTCTCAGGGCAGCGCCAGGGAAGATGCTGTAACTTGGATAGGGCTCTGCTCCTGCCTGGGCTAGGCCAACTCAATCAGCTGAGTTGCATCAGCAGCAAACACACTCCTCATCTCCCCAGACCAATCTTTTGTTCATCCAACTACCATTAAAATGAATGAGGACTTGCAGAGACCATGGGATGAGGTCCTGCTCATCTCCGAACCAGCGGTATTTGTACAGCCCAGGGCTTAGCTTCACCACCTCCCACTTGCCCTGGGGAACTCTGCCTTTCCTCCCCTGGGGAGTCCTTCTGCCAAGCAGCAGATCACTCTCTGCTCCCCGCGGGCAGGATGAGGAGGGGAGCATGCAAATGCATGACCCTGAACTCCTGCCCTGCCCATTAGAGGATGCTGCCTTGCTCAGCTCACCGTGTCCTCTGCATCTACCAAGAAGCATCTTACTGACACTGAAAAGCCAGAAAGTGCCCACCGCGCCAGCCTGAATCCCAAAACCAAAACTGGTCACTCTTTCTATTGCAAGAGTGCCTGGAGCAGCAATTCTCAACCAGGTTGCCCTGGCACCCTGGGAGGTCCTAGGATGCCACACAATATTCATGCTGTGAGGTGTGCCCACATTACACACAATTCGCAAGATAAACCCAGAGATTTCAAAGAGAAATCATGGTGCCGACCACCCTGACCTGCTGTGGCCTTTTGAGGTTCTTGGCAGCAGAAGAATTATGCTAGTATTTTTTCTGTAGTCAAGAAATGAGTGAAAAAATAAGAGCCTGCATTGAGAGTTGAGAGCCACTGGTCAGAGGCTCCAGCTAGGGGAGGCCCATGCTGTGCCAGGTGCTGTACAACCGGAGAATGAGAGATGGGCTGAGCCCAAGAGCTCTGAAGATGAGCTGGACGGAGGAAAGCAAGGAAAGGCTAACCTCAGGTTTGCAAGGTTGCAAGACTGCATAGAAGCCCTGGCTCCTATGAAATCCTGTTTTCCCATTTGTTTCTAACCCAATGCCCTTTCAGAGCGCATCACCTGCTTGCCGTTCCCTTTACAGAGGGGTCAGGGGATCCTACAGTCCCAAGGACCTAAAAAAGCATTTAAGATTTGATAGCACTCCCCTCTCAGACACTAGATTCTGCTGGATCCTGGCTCAGGAACAAGCTGTTTGCAGCCATCTCTGCTCCGAATCTGTACAGCACCTCATGCAATGCTGACACAGGACAGGGCAGGGATGCCCAGGCCCGACTGTACTGCAAATAATGAGCAAGGAGGAACGTGGGAAGGAAGTGGAGGCCAGGAGGTGGGCTTGCACGGGAGCTCAGGGGAAATCTTTGCATCTGCAGTGCTACAAACAGGACTGAAAAATGCCAGGCCCGGCTCCACTTGGGTCAGCGGCAGTGCCACAGGCATGGGGGGCAAAGGGGGTGTTGGCACAGCCAGCAGCCAGGGGGTTAATACACCAACTACAGGGTGTGGGACCCTCTGTTGCCCACCCTGAGTGCTGCTAAATCCCATCACCTGTGGCATCTGGTGATAGCAAGAAAGGCAGCAGCTGCAATAGGGGGTCTGTGTTAACCCCCTGGGTGCTGGCTGCACTGATGCCTCCTCCTCCCCCCCAAACAGCCCCAAGAGCAGAAGCGTCTCTCTCTGGCCTTGAGGCTGATCAGGGGATTGGTGCTATTGGGACCCAACCTGAGCCTGACCACACCTTCACAGGCCAGATCCAATCTTTTTGCAGGTTATCGAGCCCTACTCCACACCATCTTTGCTTCCCCCTTCTCCTGGTTTCTGTGCAGCGAGAAACTTGAGCAGAACAGGAAAGCAGGGCCAGAGATTAAGCACTTCCACAACGAGAGGCTCAATGTACAGGT